CTGCCCAGCCGGGAGCGCACAGCGGGGAGGGCAAGCGGCACGTGGCTCCCGGAGGGGCGCTGCCCGAGAGGAGATGCTGAGGGTGGACTGGCGGTGACGGAGGCTTCTAGCTGTTGTGTCTGCCCCCAGAGGTGGGGACAGAACCACAGAGAACCGCGGGCGAAATGAAGACGTGCGTGCAGGGACCCGACATAGACTGTGGGCTGTAAACGCACTTCCAAGGGCTGTCGGCGCTGCTGTGTCGCCCGCACGGACAGCTGGTTCCACCGGGAGGGAACGTGTTGGACCCGAGCAGGGCGCCGCGCCGGCGGTTCTGCTGTAAATCGGTGCCCACATGGGGCCTGTGGTGAGCCCTTCAGGACGTCCTCCCACTGGGAGCGCTTGTGGAGCCTCGAGACCAGCACGGGAGCCATTTCCAGGACTGGGTGGACCTCGGGGTGCTGGCCGAGCGCGAGGCGAGGCAGCTGCTGGGCAGGCCTCCCTGTGGGAGCGCAGGGGGCGCGGGCTTGAGCCAGAGTGACCTGCGGTGGACCTCGGGGTGCTGGCCGAGCGCGAGGCGAGGCGGCTGCTGGGCAGGCCTCCCTGTGGGAGTTCGGGTCCCAGAGCCAGGACGAGCGGCCTCCCCTTTCTCCCCGCCCCTTGTGGTCCGTGCGATTTGTATTTTGTCTGTGGGGAGCAGAGAGTGACGCCTGGGGTTCCTTCTCTGGAAACGCAGTCTGGGGCGCACCCTCTCCTAGTGCCCTGGGCGCCCCTCGGGCTGGGACGGGCACAGCGCGTCTGCTTGCCAGTCGCCCTTCAGCTGCAGTTCTCTGCCGCTGCTGGGCCGGCCGGAGGCGGTAAAGTTCTCCCTCCAAGTGTCTTCCTTTGGGCTCATTAAGAACTATTTGTGCTTATGTCTGCTGCTTAGCTTGGAGGATTGCTGCTTTCTCTTTCTTTGGAGCCGGATTGGGGATCCATGCGCCCCGAGTACCCAGGTGTGCAGGCCGTGCGACGGAGGACGTGTTTGTGTGGTGACGAACCGCCTTGCCGTAGGGACAGACGCTTAGAAAGAACACTTGTTCCCATAAGGACTTGACACCGGGAAGGAGTCCGCGTGGGCAGAAACGCTGACGCAGTCACTGGGAACCTGTAAACGCAGATCGGGCTCAGCAGGCACTTAATGGCCTGGTGCCTGAGCCTTAAGAAGAGCCCGGATCGGACCGTCCTGGGACGCCGTCGCCAGGGCGTGACTTAACCTGCCTCTCCCTTTATTTCTCTTGGGTCTCAGTTTTTGTTTTTTATTTGAAATTTAAATGGCAGTTCTTTTTTTTAGATAGCACTTTCAATATTATAAAGGGTTGAAATGAGTTAGAAATAGTTTATAACAGGGCATGCTTCTTGAAATTAAGACTCCTTTTTGAAAGGCCTTTGAACTTACTGAACATTTCAAACACAAAAGTGAACAGAATCCATCTTAAATTTTGAGAATGAAATGCAGCAAAGAACGTGTTCTATTTGGCATGTTGAAATTCTTTTTAAAAAATCCTCACTTGATGTATTTTTCATTGATTCTAGAGAGAGGAAGGGAGGGAGAGGGAGAAACATCGATTCGTTGCCTCCTGTCTTTTTGATCTAACCCGCAACCTGGGTGTGTGCCCTGACCCGGAACCCAACAACCACCTTTCGTTGTTCGGGGTTCTGTGTCCACACCAGGCTGGCTCATATGTTGAAATTCTTAAGTGTGATAAAGAAGGTAGAGTGGCCCTGGCTGGTGTGGCTCAGTGGATAGAGCGTCGGCCTGTGGACTGAAGGGTCCCAGGTTCGATTCTGGCCAGGGGCACATGCCCAGGTTGCGGGCTTGATCCCCAATGTGGGGCGCGCAGGAGGCAGCCGACCCATGGTTCTCTCATCATTGATGTTTCTATCCCTCCCTCTCTGAAATTAATAAAAAAAGAAGAAGAAAGCAGAGTGGCCCGCAGGTTCCAGGGCACACCTGTGGTTGAGATGACCCGGCTTGCGCTGAGATGGACGCGCTTGCGGAGTGTGCTGTGACGGCGGCTCTGCAGGTGTCTGTTCTCACCCAGTGCTTTGCCATTTCACAGCTCCCTAGACAAGCTAACGAATTTGTAGAATTTATTCAGAAAGGTGGGGTTAGTACCTGTTGGGTAAGGAGCTGCCTGGGGGCCGTGTCCAATGGCGGTGGGTTGGGGAGGCCTCCACGGCAGTCCCCGCCCACTCCCGGTTTTCCAATTCCCGGGAAAGCCTTCCTCTCCGTGTGCCTTCTCATTACTGAAAGTCTTTTTCTTTTGCATTCATTTGAAATCTTCCCTTATTGCCAGGAACCTGTTGACATGCCCGACTGTCCAAGGGAGTGTGAAGAGTTAAAACCTTCCGCATTCTTTCACGTGTAAATGTGAAGGGAGCGGCCCCCCTGCTTCAAAGCCTCAAGGTGCAGGCGTTAGATTCATCTCCCTGCTCGTTGGAAACGGGCCGAGTGCTAAGCTAACGTCTGAGCGTGTTGCTCGGTCAGTGAGTCACTGGACCTCTCTCTCTCGGACAGAGTTGCTGGGAGATGTGCTCAAAGACCGGCCCCAGGAGGCGGACGGGATCGACTCGGTGATCGTGGTGGACAACGTGCCTCAGGTGGGACCTGACCGGCTGGAGAAGCTCAAAAACGTCATCCACAAGATCTTCTCCAAGTTCGGGAAGATCACCAACGACTTCTACCCCGAGGAGGAGGGCAAGACGAAAGGGTGCGTGAGACTCGGGGTTCCTAAGTGTCC